ATGAGGATGAAACAATACAAGGGTTTTGCAAACTTCTCCAAACACAAAAAAACCCCAACATTCTAGAAGGGAATTAATAAATTATGCATTTAAAACATATGCTGAAGTACTAAGGACCAGGTATCATGGATAAACATCAGAAAAAACACCACTGTAAGAGTCTGGACAAAAGAGCACCCCCCAGCTGAGGGACAGCCAAGCCATAAGTACACCTTACTCTGAAGAAGGAGGGAAGAGAGAACCCAAGGAGGCTGCAGGAACACCACCATGCCTTGAATCCCACCAAACCCCACAGCTCCAAGTCATTACAAGTTCTTCCATCATTCCAGCCAGTAAAAATTGGGCAAAAAGCTCAAGTTGGCCCAGGTAATAATATGAATGCCACTCTTCTTAGCAAAGGCCGCATGGGGTGAAGTTAAAAATTTACATGACACATTCACTTAATATAAAACACATAACACATACTACTACATAATATGCCTATATATATGTGTATATTACATATATGCAGTCAGCTACTTTTTAGAAAAGTGTCTTTAGTATATAGAACCAAAGGCTTTCTGCACCAAAGGATAAAAAAGACAGGGAAGTATGCTATAGCAACATGAGAAATCCAACTGGTTTTGACACTGAAACACAATTGTAATGCTTGTAGAGCCTATAGGTAGACTACTTAGTAAGATGTAAGCCCACTATTTAACACTGAGAAAAGCAGCTCTGCCACAAAAATATATCAAATATATACATGGATGTATATAAATGTATCAAATATATATAGAAGGCACCATAACGGCCTTCACACATAAGCCACTTTCAACACACTTCAGTAGTAACAGTAACTTCTACTTTATGGTATCCAGGAAATCAAGGCTGTGCACTTTTTAAGATTTTCATTTCGGGACATGCCATATGTCACCTGCTGGGTCCAAATAACAATCTGCAACCATACAGTGAAATTGCTATTTATACATTATTAGACCTGAGCTGCTTGGAACTGCCATGTCAGGAAAAAATAATCCCAAAAGCAAAACAAGAAAAGGGAGTTGTGTCAAACCAGTACTGTTAAATACAGACTCACAGCATCACAGAATGGTAGGGGTTGGAATGGACCTCTGGAGATCATCTAGTACAACCCCGCTGACAAAGCAGGTTCATCCTCAATACATCCTGGATTCCCTTGCAATTATAAGGTCTGCTCTTATCATCTGTGCATAAACCTCAGTGACGCTGAGAACAGCTAAGAGAATTTGTTGTGTTAAGGATGAGGGCCAAGGACAGTCTGGTCACTGGTCCCTGAAAGGGAAAAATGGGAAAAGGGGTATATTACTGGGATGACAGACAAAAGTAACGCAAGGCTCCAGTCTTGATAAACATTTGGCTGGGCATTTCTCTGATGCAGAAGAGGAAGGAAAAGGTTTTGTTCTTATTCACTGATAAACATTTGCTGTTATAGGGAAAAAATAAAAAACACCTATTATAAAAAAATAAATATTACCAAAATAAGGTTTTTGATACTGTCTCCCACAACATCTTTGAAGCAAAGCTTAGAAAGTATGGGATAGATGAAGGGATGGTGAGGTGGACTAAGAACTGGCTGACTGGCAGAGCTCAGAAGGTTGTGATCAATGGAGCAGAATCTAGCTGGTGGTCTGTAACCAGCGGTGTTCCCCAGGGGTCGGT